TCCATTCTTGATATATAATTATTCATTGTTGACAGAAACAGTTTTCCAGTCTTCATTTGTCGACGATAAAGTTTTTCCAGTAGGTCTTCATTGTTGCAGATACAGTCTTTCCAGTCTCCATTCTTGATATATAATTATTCATTGTTGACAGAAACAGTTTTCCAGTCTTCATTTGTCGACGATAAAGTTTTTCCAGTAGGTCTTCATTGTTGCAGATACAGTCTTTCCAGTCTCCATTCTTGATATATAATTATTCATTGTTGACAGAAACAGTTTTCCAGTCTTCATTTGTCGACGATAAAGTTTTTCCAGTAGGTCTTCATTGTTGCAGATACAGCCTTTCCAGTCTTCATTCTTGATATATAATTATTCATTGTTGACAGAAACAGTTTTCCAGTCTTCATTTGTCGACGATAAAGTTTTTCCAGTAGGTCTTCATTGTTGCAGATACAGTCTTTCCAGTCTCCATTCTTGATATATAATTATTCATTGTTGACAGAAACAGTTTTCCAGTCTTCATTTGTCGACGATAAAGTCTTCCAGTAGGTCTTCATTGTTGCAGATACAGTCTTTCCAGTCTCCATTCTTGATATATAATTATTCATTGTTGACAGAAACAGTTTTCCAGTCTTCATTTGTCGACGATAAAGTTTTTCCAGTAGGTCTTCATTGTTGCAGATACAGTCTTTCCAGTCTCCATTCTTGATATATAATTATTCATTGTTGACAGAAACAGTTTTCCAGTCTTCATTTGTCGACGATAAAGTATTTCCAGTAGGTCTTCATTGTTGCAGATACAGTCTTTCCAGTCTCCATTCTTGATATATAATTATTCATTGTTGACAGAAACAGTTTTCCAGTCTTCATTTGTCGACGATAAAGTTTTCCAGTAGGTCTTCATTGTTGCAGATACAGTCTTTCCAGTCTCCATTCTTGATATATAATTATTCATTGTTGACAGAAACAGTTTTCCAGTCTTCATTTGTCGACGATAAAGTCTTCCAGTAGGTCTTCATTGTTGCAGATACAGTCTTTCCAGTCTCCATTCTTGATATATAATTATTCATTGTTGACAGAAACAGTTTTCCAGTCTTCATTTGTCGACGATAAAGTCTTCCAGTAGGTCTTCATTGTTGCAGATACAGTCTTTCCAGTCTCCATTCTTGATATATAATTATTCATTGTTGACAGAAACAGTTTTCCAGTCTTCATTTGTCGACGATAAAGTTTTTCCAGTAGGTCTTCATTGTTGCAGATACAGTCTTTCCAGTCTCCATTCTTGATATATAATTATTCATTGTTGACAGAAACAGTTTTCCAGTCTTCATTTGTCGACGATAAAGTATTTCCAGTAGGTCTTCATTGTTGCAGATACAGTCTTTCCAGTCTCCATTCTTGATATATAATTATTCATTGTTGACAGAAACAGTTTTCCAGTCTTCATTTGTCGACGATAAAGTATTTCCAGTAGGTCTTCATTGTTGCAGATACAGTCTTTCCAGTCTCCATTCTTGATATATAATTATTCATTGTTGACAGAAACAGTTTTCCAGTCTTCATTTGTCGACGATAAAGTCTTCCAGTAGGTCTTCATTGTTGCAGATACAGTCTTTCCAGTCTCCATTCTTGATATATAATTATTCATTGTTGACAGAAACAGTTTTCCAGTCTTCATTTGTCGACGATAAAGTTTTTCCAGTAGGTCTTCATTGTTGCAGATACAGTCTTTCCAGTCTCCATTCTTGATATATAATTATTCATTGTTGACAGAAACAGTTTTCCAGTCTTCATTTGTCGACGATAAAGTTTTTCCAGTAGGTCTTCATTGTTGCAGATACAGTCTTTCCAGTCTCCATTCTTGATATATAATTATTCATTGTTGACAGAAACAGTTTTCCAGTCTTCATTTGTCGACGATAAAGTCTTCCAGTAGGTCTTCATTGTTGCAGATACAGTCTTTCCAGTCTTCATTCTTGATATATAATTATTCAAAGATAAATTCTTCCCAATCTTCATTTCTGGACAGTCTTTCTACTCTTCATTTGTCGAATATACAATCTTTTCATTCTGTATTTGTCGAAGATCTTCAATGTTGAAGATACAGTCATTTCAGTCTTCATTTGTGGAAAATAATTTTTAACTAACGTTTAGTAAAAGAATGAGATTACATTCAGTGAAATAAAAAACAAACGGGATTTTAAAAATTACCGACAAAAATATTGGCACCTTAATGCACACAAACCTAATAAATGTTGCATGTTGAAAGACAATGAACTAAGATTCCACCTGGAAGTCTGATTAAAATCAGAATAAATTCCTTTTAAATTCAGACATCTTTATTTCTGGTTTGATTAATAACTTGTTGAATTACTTGCTGTTCGTGGTTTGTGTGTAATAAGTCTGTTTTAAACTGTAGAAGTTATTTTTTGATGTCTTAGTCGAAAGTTACAAATTCTATAATAATATTTAAAGTTCGCTTTCGAAAATAGAATTACATTTACAGAACACCCGATGTCACTCTGCGATTGAGCATCTCTTAGGAGACTCCACGTTTATGTTTACGTTTTAACAATGACCACTCTTATAAATTCACTTTGTAGAAATTAAAATACATGTCTTCTGGAACAGCCGATTCTACTCTACGTTTGGGATTGGCAACATGTCTATCGGATATATATCCGAAAGTTAATTTATTACACACCTATAGCCCGATGGCCTACAGACGTTTGAATGAAAATTGGAATGGTTCAAATCGATGCTATGCTGTCTCCGATATATAAAAAAATAATTTCGAAAACTCTTGAAAAACACTTAAATTAGACAAAGATTCCATACACATACACTAAGGTTTCTCCAATGTATTGATATTCAATATGCCACTTAATGATTTCTATCGATTTCGTTAATTGTGTACAAATATTATATGACCATTCTTCCAATAATGTTAAGCTAACATAGACAATGGATAAATGAACAAAATTTTGTTTTAACATGGCTTGATTGACGATAAATGTCTCAAGATTTCTTTAAAATATCTTTCCAGGGAAACTGAGCGAAACATCGTGAACTATTTTAAAATTTATAGCTTGCTTTTTCTTTAGAAGTTGAATGTGTTTATCTTCTTTCTAGGTTTCCTTTTATTTTTGGATAAACACGGTAAAATTGTCCGAAAAAAAGTTTTACCTTTACAGCTAATTGTGGGCAACCGTGACATGGAACAGTTGTATGCATTTAACTAAATGTGGACGTACAAGAACGTTGCTCCTATAATAGTGGTCGTTGTGTTTTAACAGTCTCGCCAACAATTCAAATTAATTTTTTTTTAGGTCTGGTGTGCAGTTGGTAACCAATAACATCTCCCTCAAAATAGTAGAATGAATGCGTTATGTTGATATAACTTCAAACGGATCAAATTAATCAAAATGGTATGACTGATTGCCTAACATACAATTATTCTTTAATTATGATTAAAAATACAAATACGATAAAATTAATAGTCAGAAAAGAAAGTAGCTTGAATGAAATTTCATTATTGCAATTTGGCAAAAGATGATAACTACTGGTAATTTACTTTTTGGTTTTGAAGTTACAACAGACAAAAATAAAATTCAACAAAATCAAATGTAACGCTGTGTCTTTTAGATGAATTACAAGAGAATCCTACGTTGGACTATAATTGTGAAATATGATAATATATATATTATGTATAGCTGAAATTTAGCTTTCAACCAAATATAAAGGCCACAAAATTACCAGACTATACTTTCTCTGTGCATTTCTATAAAATTGAACATTCCGCTTTTGAATGGCTGATTCAACTAGTAAATACCGCGCTATTATTCCAATAGTCAGTAAGCGACAATCGTTTCACACAGATATTCAAGAACAAACGGATATACTTCGTGTTGTATCATAATACACCACAAAACAACACAGAGTGGTATTCCTTATCTTTTATTGGCATTAGTCAGAGTCGTAGATACGAATTTTAATTACCAATTAGTTTCCTTATCTGCATCATTAAATTGTTTCATAAATCATAATGGTATTGGCTATACAACACGGAAGAAATATTGTCGTACACGTCTGTGCATATCAAATCAAGTAGTGATAGTAAAGATGAACTTGTGAAATGGATAGTGGTTATATCACTTAATGTTCATAGTATGCATGAATAGTTGATAATGTGGAGTTGGACAAATTGTGTCATTATGTACTAAGTGAACTTTTACAGATACATTAACGTTATGCACTTTTAGATTGATACGTGTTCTTAAAACAAGTTGTTGGTAAAGAACGGATGATAACGAAGACAGTGCCAGTCTCAATATCCGTTAGATGATAACGGATTCTTACGATACATTCCTTTTGGACTGACATATCCTGGATTTTTTATTTTTTTATTAATATCAAGTTATGTCAATATTCACGTGGGAGAAAAACATAGATTATATGGTATACGAGTTAATTTGTTACAGATTTAGGAATTGATAATGTTAAAAACTCCACGGATTCGTCTATTGAATATATTATATGAAACTATGCGGGCAGAGATGTCATTTGGAAATCGGAACGCATGTGGATAGGTTGAAGTTACTGAACAAGGTACAGAGCCCGTCATGTACAAATCAGATTGGTTCGGACTGTATTCAGCATTCAGAACCAGCATTCAAGTATCTCGGAAAGCATAGTCACATACGGAAGTGAAACGTTTGTGGTCAACCTGTTTAATCGGGAAAGACTTATTTCCAGTGTCGAATAGAAGTGACTTGCATAATATTAGATAGGAACGTATTTGCATGTTTTGTTCTAGATACAAAGAATAAACAGCAAAGAAAATCAGTTTGTGTTAGAGAATAACGTCTTCGAACATGTTTTTAAAATTAGCAAGAATAAGCTGTCAATAAGATCATTCTATGTTGGATATAAACGTATTCGAATAGTTCTGAGCTATTCCTATCGCAATAAAGGAAATTAATATAACTACAGGATGTGCCATGCGGAAGACTTGTTATTCGTCAGTTTAAACGGTTTTTGTGTTACCAAGCAGGAATTCGCTTTAAATCTATGTTTAGCCGTGGTGGGAATGTTTATTATTTTGATTAACCTTTTAGCCGTGGTGACATTGATAAAGCATACCGATATGGAGGAGCCGACCAATTATTTTATAGCCAATTTAGCCATTGCAGATACATTTATTGGCATTTTCCTTATCTACGACGTCTTCTACAATATTTTACAGTTCAAATTCTACATAGAATGTGTTTTACGTGTCGGTTTATTCATTTCTGTCAATATAGCTTCCGTTTTTAATTTAACCACTTTGACATTGGATCGTTATATTAAAGTTACCAAACCTTATAAATATCTGGCGTTTTTCTCCCCCAGAAAGGTTAAAGTAGCGGAAGCCTTGATATGGATTGCCTCCATAGTTTGTGGAATGCTGCCGTTTTTTGGATGGAGTACGCTGGACATATTTGAAATCTGTAATTTTTTTGGCATTATGTCTTGGACGTATTTGTTATTCATTTTAAGCGTGTTTAGTATTCCAAGCTGTTTTATCGTATTTGCTTACATTCATTTCCTAATGCTGGCCAACAAGCAAAGAGAGGCTATCTCCTCACAGATGTCATCCTTCCGTGGTGCCGGAAACAGTAGAAGAGAACGAAGAGCTTTAAAGTCATTTAAAACAGCTTTCATTATCGTTGGAGCATATTTCCTTTGCTGGGGACCAGTTGGTAAGCACTTAACTTCTTTTTTCACCAAGACAAATGCTAAAAGTGCCATTTTTTTGCTCAGAGGACAGCTGATAGGAAGTTAAGTTTTAGATGTCATTTACATAAATGTCTCGAAGCCACCCTTTGCGAGGTAGGGTATGTGCGTCTTTCAAGAATATCTGCGGTTAGATTTGTCAACTTGGCATCCCTTTCGAATGGCCAACACAGCTAATAATTTGATATTCACGCTTCAGACATATGCATTGAAGTAAAAGGTCAATATGGTTATACAGTACGAGTATATCAAATTTCGACAAAAAACAAGCTGCCTTGAATCTCTGACATGGATGTCGTCTAATTGAAAATCGCACACGCAGAGTGACATCGCGTGTTCCAAAAGGTCTGCGAACCTCACACCCGCACCCACCATTTAACATGTCCATTTCTATAATGTCAAGCAATATAATTGGTGATAATTTCTGAATTGAAAATGTGTATTGTACAGAAAGTCATGTAACCCGGCGCCGGTAGATAATTATATCTAATGTTCCTAATAACAATTTCATTTGCAAAATGCCAAGTTCACGATCATAAACATTAACTAACTCGTCTTCCATACCTTGAGAAAAGGCTCATATTTCAGACAATTTTCAATTAATGACAATAAATGACATAACGCATCAGCTGCTACATGTTTCGATAGAATCTCTTCCGATTAACATAATTCGGCACTTAAACAACAATATCAATTTATTCTGCACTTAAAGAGGCTGGTAGAAACCTATGTCCAATTTTTTTTTTACATAAATCACTTGATAAATCATTCTGTCGCAAGTAAAAGGTTGATTTTTTTTTTAAAGTAACGAGGAATAGTATAATAATAAAGCTTCCAAGGCAATGACTGGGTTTTGATTAAACATTAAACCAACATTCAGTTGTTATCAATGCGAAAGTATGTCTATGCATACAGTCAAGATGTCTATAATATGCACCCTCATATTCCATTAATATATTTCAACGATATTATTTTAATCAACTTCTAGGAACAGATAAGTGGGACGTATGCCCAATTTCATTTCCATCGATACCTTATTGCCTTTATCTTATATTTTATCTTATATTTCGTATGAGACGACATGAAAAGGGCGTTCTGTAGCCTGCGCAATTACAATTATTTAAAAAAAATCATAAGTCAAATGCCGATGTGTTGCCAATCTTTCCCCACTATTCCTTCAATAGCATAAAGGTAAAGTAGTTAAAACTGGCACTTCCGTCGTTTGGATTGGACAATGATAAACAGATATGCTTGTGGTAAAGCAACAATTTAGCCTATTGCAAACTGTATGTGTTACTCGTTTTACTAGACCATTCAAGAGAAGAATAGCAGTCGGTCGACACAACTGATTTCATTTCATTAATTCAATTCATTCATTTCAATTTTCAATAACGCATGAATTCACATACAGAAGTCTTATCATCAATGTAGATTCATTTCTTGATTGCTTTCCTATTTGATAGCAATGGCAATCTGAGAGTCCGACTCTACCACTACGATTAAATTACATTAGTTTATTGTTAACACAAGCTGGTACAATAAATTGCATTGAAGTTTTCTGATAGAGGATTCGGCGTTTAAATATCGACAATATAAGTTTCGGAGACCAGTTTCAAGAAATTCTATCTTTGGATGAATTTAGTGTTTCGACCATCGGAGTAACCAAACACTAAAATCGATGTTGAATGTAGCTCTATTGAGTTAGGTGTTGCTTTAAATATGAATTTGATCTTAGTTTTAATATAATAGAAAGCAGTAATGCATCATTAGTGTTAGCATTAATTAATAAAAATGAAATAAAGTCCTAATTTCAGTTATTGATAAATCGATATTGAGGTAGAAATAATTTATTAGTATATCGAATATTCGCTCACACTGATAGAAAAAATCTTAATACACAAATGTCAAGTTAATGTGAAATTCAGAAAATGATCTAGGTCAAATCCTGATTTGTAAAGTCTATATAAATATAATGTACATGCATTTTAGTTATCCTGTAGAAAAGGGAAAGGAATGAAGTTTTACTTCTATTTTTCTGATCCAAGGTTGGTTAATCAAGACATGCAACGCAATGCAGTGTGTACTAGTGAAATTTTGTATGGACAGTGGCATTAGAATTGTTCTTTTCAGATTTCCAATTTCCAAAGATCTTTAACGTGAACATCTGGCAATAAACGGGCCCTCGCTATATTGCCCATCAAGACGATCTACATCTGTGACCGGAGATCAATGGGGTTGAAGAAACTAGTGATATCATCCTGACCTAGGATAAAAATGTCACAATGGATGGATTGGGCTACAAATATAATCATTTCTGAAGGTGTACTGATCGAAGAATCGTGATATCAATATCTTGCTTCAGATGTATTTTGATTGAAAAGACATTGACAATTCGTAGTTATAAGTATTCAATAATTTGTCATATTCCATAAATTGTCATATTCGGAAAATGCAAGAGAGTCATCTATTATCATAGCACATGTGGTTACTGATCGTTCCATACAGATGAATAGCGTTGGGAGACAACACTGGACGAATCCCACAGTCAATAGTATCAAGATTATATGACAAAAGTAACCTCCTATTGCATTTAGCATTCAAATGCGTGTCATGTGATACTACAGGCGGGCAAATAACTATTTCGAAGGAGCTGATAATATAAATATTTAATTTTGATAACAATGAATCTGGAAAAATCTATAATTATAAACAAAATATACACCATTCTTCAATATTGATCACACATGTATTTCTTTAAATTGGGTTAATAATATGGTTTCAATAATCGAGTCATTAAATCACTTGTTTGATGCCAAAATTAACCACTTCCACATGTTTGGTGAGGTTGAGCTGACAACCAATCTATTTGAAATACATATCATCAATAACATCTTGTTTAAGAATACCAAAAGATTTTTGTATCATGAATGAAACGCACGTAGCAATGAGCCTTAACTAGGTAGTCCAGACTCGTTTTTTGCCAGAAACAGAACATAATGAACTGTTGACAATTGCACTCGAGTAAACTTGATCCAGTTTCCGCCAGATGGTGTCGGCTGTAAGGAGTCGTTGAAAGGCTGCTCTCGGATTCTGTAAATGTTGGAACGAAACGAAATGGAACATGTAGGTTTTTAGGTCACCCCGAGACGTACAATAGGCCAAAAAATTTAATAGTTTGCAGGCAGTACTAAACAAGGAACCTATCTTTAATTTGCAGGACACTATATTATCTTCTGTCTTGACATTTACATCCGAAAACACTATCAGTTTCTAATTGATTATTGTTAAGATTGGGACGGGAATATAGTCTTACGTAGTGTTTCTATATTCAAATATTCTGATGGTTTACTCTATTCCGGTCGATATAACCGTAGCTTCGGTCATCCTAGCCTCAAATATAGCCTAGGGATACAAGGAGGGTACTTTGTTTAGGCATGGCATTTAAACGATCGGCGTGTATTGGAAGACTGTATTTTTCTTGTCGACCCAACTGCAAATCGGAATAGTTAATATTTCAATGATAAAACTAAAAGATCAACCCAAAAAGATTAAAACAGTTATCTTGATGTTTTACGCGGAATGTCAAAGTGAAAATTTGTGTCAACTCCTTTCCGATGTCCGACTGTCGAGGGGTCCTAATCAACACGGGGCCTCGAGTCATTGTCAAACCACTGGGCCGCTTTTTTCATGTTGCTCTTCCAGAGAAAACTGGTTAGAAAAAACCCTCAAGTTTTGTTTCAGGATAGTAAGCCACCGCGACCCCACAAATGTCAAAGTGATTGTATTTTTATCATATAGAATGCTAGGTCGGATCTATTGGTTATGAAATGATTTATGGGGTTCAAGCTATTTTTGTGTAGATTAAAAAAATATCAAGAAACCTGATACCGCTGTTCAATATGAAATACTTATTCACTTATGATTGATATACTTCCTAACGTAAAAAGTTCGTTGGTTGCTACTTATATTTTTCGTTTTGTGGTTCGGATCGTTAGTACTTGGTTTATTTATTATCAATGTTTATCAGACAGTTTCCCGATATTGTCATTAATTTTTTTTTATGTGCTTTTGTTGTTGTTTATTTTGTTGGTGTATAATACAGTCCTTGGTCGTTATTTTGAACCCTAAAGTGCAGATATTTCTTTACCCAAAATATGGATAAACAAACAAACAAATAAAAGAAACAAAAGCACATCAACAAAACAACCAACAACAAAAGCACACCAACAAAATAAACAACAACAAAAGCACATCAACAAAACAACCAACAACAAAACCACACCAACAAAGTAAACAACAACAAAAGCACATCAACAAAACAACCAACAACAAAACCACACCAACAAAATAAACAACAACAAAACCACATCAACAAAATATACAACAAAACCACATCAACAAAATAAACAACAACACAACATCAACAAAATAAACAACAACACAACAAAACAAAAATCAAAAACAACAATACCAGCAACAACTACCAAAAACAACAATACCAGCAACAACAAAAAAAAACAACAACATGTACATACATGTAAAATGTTAAGAAACTTAATATAATCATCCGTTACGTTTGAGGAATTGCGAAATTCGAAATAATTCAGTAAGCTTGTGGCCAAGTTTCATGGCGAACAACCTTTTTTTTGGCGACTATATTCCTTCAAGACATACAAAACCCAGACAATTCTGCACAAGCAGATTAAATTGTATACAACAAACAAAGATGACTTGGCGTGTTGCACGCCTTCAGCGATTGTTACATATAAAGATTTCCAATTGACGATATTGATCTGATTAAGTTTGTTGAAATCTGTAAAGTCTGTATATACAGAGATTGCTAATTTCATTACCTGAATGTTGAAGAAATGGCTGCGAGTCTGAAAATCTGATGTTTCAATTAAGGACTTTCAAAATATACCTCGATAAGACTCGCAAAGACCCGAATATTCGAATTAATTTTTTGAGGTGCCCTCAAACTAGATCCGACACAACAGGGTATGGGGACAAAATAGAAGCTAGATCCGACACAACAGGGTACGGGGACAAAATAGAAGCTATAAAACGTCGGGGGAAGTTGTTAGAGTACAATTCATATTGTTTTTTTGTCCTGCCGTTGAGTTCGTGTCGGATCTGGTAGTGCATAGACGCCTAAAAATTACCGGTTTGACTTTTGATCGAATCGACATCTCAGCATTGCATTTAGTTATACCAAAAATTCTATTTTCTATCTCAGGCTGATTTATGGCAAGGGTAATAACTCAATTTCGAACATGATTTGTAGGCGTAATAACTAAAATACGCTTTTTTTTAACAATAAATCAAATTTATTGCTTTAACTTTGCAATCTCGATGACTTTCAAATTTGCTATTTTTTTTGTTGATAAAGAAATTTTAATTAAAGTTTTTACACTATAATCTTATACAATTATAACAGTGATGCCTATCTAAGTGAAATTCAAAGGTAGTCTTAAGATGTTATTTGATGAAATCCGAAAGAGTTTGGCTTTGGAATCCTTACAATACGTCATTTGCTCGAATACGTCGAGAAAAAAATGTGGCCTGGGGTTCTAACCTCGGACGTCGTGAAAGTTTTGATCTTGAATAAGTCATTATAATAGTCAACCCAGATGTAAAAGGGGACACGTAATCATTGCCAGATCAATGTTAAAAGGTTTGGCCGAGGACCAGATGGTAGACAGGATCCTTCGAAAGTTTTTAACCTCGTAAAAAAATGTTTCTTTCTTTCTTCTTGTAACCGATAATATGTATCCGCCATTGTTTACGTAAGTTAACGCATTGATATAACGGAACTTTTTTTTTATTTTCAGGTATGTTTACCTTAATAGTAATTGTATCAGATATAGAGAAGTCTATGGCCATCTCACCAAACGTTGTGTTTGTTTATTTACTGGGTATCGGAGTATTCAACAGTATCCTCAATCCTATTATTTACGCTTCTAAGATCAGTGTGTTCAGAAAGAAACTTCATAGAATGTTTTGTGTTAGTCGTATTCAAGAATTTAAACGAAATTCTATCAGATCGTTGTCTAATGCATTCAGAACGTCGGTCGCACAAGTCAATAGAGGGTCCAACGCTTCGAACGAATCGGGACGTTCCTATGGATCCACCCAAGATGAAACGAGAGTCACAACGATGAATTCTGGGGATAATGGAAACCACATTATTTACGTTAAACCACATGAAGAATCCGAAGAACAGGAAAATGATAGAAGACTTTCAGATGTGCAGTGCTGAAATCATTGGGTTTTCATATCATTTTTACTTAACTTATTGAACAGCTCATGAAACTGCATCTATATGACTATTTATAGTTCTCCATCGCGAGTAGCCCCTTTTGATTGCACTTTCAGATCAGTCATCGACTGGTTAAGGGTCCAAGGGCTATTCTTTTGAATTGGGAGGTACGTAATGTACCTGCATGTAGTGCTTCTAAAAACAGTACTCCGAACACTTGTTAAGGGTCGGCGTGATTTTTCTTTTTAACCGAATTGAAACTAGTCTTAGAGTATTCAAGAATCAAAAGAGGGTCTAACGCTTCGAATGAATGGGGACGTTCTGATGGATCCACCCAAGATGAAACGAGAGTCACAACGATGAATGCTGAGGACAATGGAAACCACATTATTTACGTTAAACCACATGAAAAATTCGAAGAACAAGAAAATGATAGAAGATTTTCAGATGTGCAGTGCACAGGCAATGTAAACATTCCGGAACATCTCTGATTTCATTGTGAACTGTTAAAAGCTTTGGTCTTCCAATGTCATTGGTCTCTTGGATAGAAGATTCTCAGTTCTAATATCATAATCTTATTTTATCACATTGCTGTATTTTTTAATTGATTTTTCAGTCGACGGTGTGCTCGAGTCGACTAAATCGAGCAATTGTTCAAATTAACCAAGATGGCACCATTTCCTACAAGTGGAATATGCCAAAATATAAAAGGTTTTGTTGTGGCGTTTCTGCTAGCCATGCATCTTACCCAAACCTTAGAATAGAGGTTGAAAAAGCTTTCACACTCCTCCCACTCTCAGGTTTCTTAGGGACAGAAATGCCAGTGAGCCCCCTTAAAGATTCGGTGGCCTCCCACCTTACAACTGATTCAAAGAAACGCAACTGATCTTGATCATTTTCTATCCTATTCACTGTAAAATATTGGGATTAGGGTGGTTGAAAGTAACAAGTTACTAGTCAACATAAGGCTTGCACTGGGTATAATATGGATAAGAATTTGTGATTCTCATATTGGACGAAGATCAGTAAATGAAAGTAAAGAGATAACAGGGGTTCCAAAGGTTGGGAGAAGTAATGTAAGCATAGTAATATATTTTAAAAATCTTTATTATACCAAGATAGGACCAGGAACAAATTGCCTGGCCAAAGTTATTTCCAAATGAAAATATTATCATCATTATCGTAATTGTAATAGGAATGTTTGGGTCAAAGTTTTCATAACATTAAAATAAATAAATTTTATTCGTCATTTGTTTTAATTAATTTAGATTTAGTTTTTAACAACTGTCTATATTCTAATTGAAGAGAAGACAAAGTCTGTTGTAAGTTGGCTATGGAGACTGAAATAGTTACAGCATCTTTAAAACCCTGTTGACTTTTACGTAAATTTTGCGGCACCAGGACTCCAAACCATTTTATTGGATCAACTGGAACTGGATCTTCAGACTTGCCCGATTCCACACCATCGATATTTTCTGGTCCCTGTTTTCTATTCCTTAAAGAGTTCTCTAGCTTTTTGGTGGTTTGAGCTCTCAATGAATGCACTTGAAACATCTCTGAAGATTTCTGTTCTTTGTCATTTACGTCGACCTTAGTCAAAGCCACCATAGAATCACTAAATTGGGAAGTACCAACAGCTTTAACTCCCATATTATACCGTGCCCGAGACAGGTTCAGAAATCCATCTTTCATATACTGATCTAAAATAGACCGTTCTGCATACAGCTGTTTTAGATTTTTGAAATAGTCCATAAGTAATTGATCTAACTGAATACAAACTTCTTTAAGTTCCATCGTTATCTGAAATAGAAATAAAGACTCGTGGATCTGATGTTGGTAGGTGATTGTGAAACAGATGTACTGAGTAAAACGAACGTTTTAGTAGAACGTAAAAACAACGAATGATACACAGTTTTACAAACTGGAGAACATCAACAAGATATTATAAGATCCTGAGTAATATTTGAAACCTACAGATGTATCCAAACTTACTATACAAAAGTAACATGTCAGATCCAAGAAGGAAATCACAAGAGGCATGCCAAAGATGTAAAGGGGTACAGCAGTTTGCATATTTGTTTACCGTCCGAATAAATGAACTAAGTACTAACGATCCAAACTGCAAAACGAAACCCAGAATTTATTGGCAATACATTGACAGCATTAGACCACCGTCATTTACTATGTAACTCTTCGACATTTTACCTAAGAGTGTGAAAACATTGCGAAAACAGTGAAAATGTACTTTCTACATGTTGGTCAAACACACTTCAAGGGAGGTAACTTGGTAAAATCAGAATTATCAAGAAAAATGTCGACATTTGATTTGAAATAATTCAGTTAAAAATTGATTTCTTTATTGATTTACAGCAGAATTTCAGAACACTTTTCATAAAAGATTTTCTAAATCTAATTTAAAGAAAAAAAAGAATAAATATACATCTTTCTAATGTAGGTCAGTCACACTTCAAGGGAGATAATTTGGTAAAATAAAACAATATTTAAGATAAATGTTAATATTTAAAATGTGATTATATGATATTGAAGTAATAATAAGAAGAGTTATAAATTATATAACTCTATGACATCTTATAAACATCAACAATACGGTATAAACCTCTCTTCCTGCATGTAGGTCAACCACACTTCAAGGGAGATAATTTGAGTGATATTATTTGTTATAAATTTGAAACTTTCCTGGTCTACATTTCAGAATGTTCACATTTCCAGTGGGTATTTATACAGAAGAGACTATCTTTTGATAAAATATAGGGCCTACGTTAGTAAATAATACTTCAGTTAAAGGGAGAGGTAGATCTCGTAATGTTTCAATAAAACTAAGGAGTAGCCTAGTGTACCCTAAAATTGTGTTCCTTCCGTATATTACATAATGTTTCAATTTGTCAATAAAAACATTAGTAGACAAATACTGGACAATTAATTACCGGGTGACCAGATAATTAGCTTAGGACCTAATTACAGACTGCCTCCAAACTAATTGATCATTGATGGCTTTGTAATATCAAAATAGACCTGTAAGTTGTCATCCAATTTTGTATTTCAACAGGCAATGAATGATATATATGACATATACCTGATGTCCGAACTGTGATCATATCAAGAAAAATTAGCTAGACCAACAGCCTTACAATGCACCACACAACATTCACAATTCATACTTCTCATGTCCGAAAGAAATATAGGATTAGTTGAGACCAAATGTTAAAGAACAAAAAAAAAGACCTTAAAATACAGTAGAATGAAAACCTTGACTCATGACTTTATGACAATGACACGTATAATGTTGGTTGTGGTCTGAGCCGTTCAGAATGTAAAACATATTATTTTCTATATTTCCTTGACATAAAACGTTTATAAAGTAACCTTTAATTGGCATCTTGAAAAGAAAACCATCATGACTCACCTTAAGTGTCAACGTTTGCTATAAGAGATCAATAATCATACAAATTCGGCTCGTATTGTAATATATTGGATTTTAATCAGAATGTAAACAAACTAGGAGTTACTTCCCTTACTGTTATAAAATTCCGATTTACGTTGAAAACGAAACAATAAAAATAAAACGTAATATGACAATTAAAAACTACCTTTTAAATTCTCAAGAAAGCACTGAAATTTCGTTCATTGATATTACTTATTGATAGGCCGACACGACAACAATTCCAAATAAATCTGCAAAATGCAAAGATATTCGTTTTTTAGCCATATGTCGCGTGAAATTTGTACGTACAGGATGTTTATATTTTTCAAGAAAACCTAATAAATTCTTTAATTTCTGAAATATAGCAAATTAAATGATGAATAGTTCACAAGAAATGCAGGTTAATGTCTTAGATCTGCCAGAGGAACTGGTTGAATATATTCTAGGATTGATTTCTCCTTATCAAGACTTGAAAAATGCTTCTTTGGTGTGTAAACAGTGGAATCGACTTGTGAAAGGTTAGTTCCAAACATTCTGCGTATATTTTATTCTTCCCCTGTCAACAGTTATGTTGTCTCTATTTGTTGATCTAGACATGAGCTGTTCCACTTAATTCATAAGGATACTGCCATAAGTACCGGTATGTTTAGTCAATGAGACAGTAGCTACTTTTAGGGGCAGGGTATTCGGTAACTTGCCTATACTTTAAAACACTAGATTTATGGTCAAATTGAAAGCTAATCATACCTTCAAAAGTGCACACTTAATGCTCAGAACAACATATCCACACTATCAACACCTAATTATGATTATTTATCAAAAACTTCAGATCAATCTGCGAGTACCTGATAGTAGAAAATATAAAATGTATTCCCCATTCTTCTGAAGCAGTATTGCCTATCAAAGATTTGTAACAGGAGGTCGTGAACTGTCAGAAAGAAAGACTTTAATGATGAGACTGTATGTCTATATTTTATCACAAAATTCCTAAATTTCAGGTGTCACATCGAAGATCATTCGAAGTTTTAATCTGGCAACACAGACAGGAAAGATAAAATGGACAGCTATAAAGGTGGACGCTGGTCAGACCATATCCAAACGATATTCACATTGTGCTTGTTATTTTGATAAATCATTGTACGTGTGTAGTGGTTGTACTGTTACTAATACAACATTTAATGATATCTGGAGGTTTGATCTGACAACAAGACAATGGGTTAGACCATTAGCAGTAGGTATGTATCTGCTGATTCAGTTTGATTTACATAGTCATGGGGACCGTTTGACTTTTGGAGGTTCCCCTTTTTGGGATCATTTTGACTTCCTATGATCCATCTTCTTGAAGTTATAATCTGAAAACTAGACAATAGGCTACAATGTGGAGTAGATATTCAGTAAACAACTGTAATCAAATTTTATTACCCTCACAGTCCAGTTCTAATGACAATACAATTAACTTAACAGGCTTGTCTCTTTAGAACAAGTTTTTTAAAAACAAGGGCAAATTGTGAGACAGCAAAACCAACAGGGGCTACCATATTGATTTCATACAACAAAGTGTCGGAATTACTGGAATAATAATTTAGATAGTGGAGACATTTTTACTCATGAGGCAGAATAGAAAGGTTTTCTGATTGTGCAGAGCATAACTTACTGAAAATTTGCTGTTAATCCAGCCATTTCAAATTTAATATATAGTTGAAATCTCCCTTTCTTTTGGAATGACAGTAATATTTTTTTTACAGGAGCCTATCCCTCTCCTAAAGGTTGTGCCTCTATGGTTGTATATAAAGATAATTTAGTTTTATATGGTGGATGGAGTCACCCTACTCCTTATCCTTTACACCAGGTACTTTATTTACTTTCAAAATTCAAGTATGTGCCTGTTGGCATTTCATAGATGTTGTTATGGTCTCTGCAACACACTTTTTCATAGTTCATGGTAGCCTAGACCATGCTTGTGGAACTGATGTAATTAATAAATAAACATATGATTTTTGAACAAGCCAATCAGCATGCTTCTGCATAAGTTTTTTTTTTTTTTAAAAATATAAACACACACCTAAAACTCAAGAATATATGAGTACAATCAACCTCATGGTGTGAATATGTTGAATGCATATACAAAGCGTTTAGGGAAAATGTGAACCATTTATTAATAAAGGGATGTGATGTAAATGGATGAACAATAAATGAATTGGAAGTTTATTAGATTTTTTGTCCCCTGCTAATCCATCTTTTCACTACATTTTAATATTGAAACTAATTGATATTAGGCCATCTCTTATTTTGTTTTTCAGACATCCAAATTTTTCTCTGAGCTAGATATGTTCAACCCAGAAACTAATCGTTGGACTCATGTCTGCTGTATGTCCCCAACTCCTCCACCCATGGCAGGACATTCTGCTTCTATTATTGGAGATTATATGGTTGTCTTTGGTGGCTCAATGGCACCTGGAGTAGGGTGAGTAAAGTATTTGTGTTTATATTCTTTTATTTTACAGAAGTAATGATGTTTATATCTTTCATTGTACTGAAGTAATGATGTTTATATATTTTATTTTACAGAAGTAATGATGTTTATATCTTTAATTTACAGAAGTAATGATGTTTATATCTTTTATTGTACTGAAGTAATGATGTTTATATATTTTATTGTACTGAAGTAATGATGTTTATATCTTTTATTTTACTGAAGTAATGATGTTTATATCTTTTATTGTACTGAAGTAATGATGTTTATATCTTTTATTGTACTGAAGTAATGATGTTTATATATTTTATTTTACATTAGTAATGATGTTTATATCTTTTATTTTACAGAAGTAATGATGTTTATATCTTTTATTTTACAGAAGTAATGATGTTTATATATTTTATTGTACTGAAGTAATGATGTTTATATCTTTTATTGTACTGAAGTAATGATGTTTATATCTTTTATTGTACTGAAGTAATGATGTTTATATATTTTATTTTACAGAAGTAATGATGTTTATATATTTTATTGTACTGAAGTAATGATGTTTATATCTTTATTTTACTGAAGTAATGATGTTTATATCTTTTATTGTACTGAAGTAATGATGTTTATATCTTTTATTGTACTGAAGTAATGATGTTTATATCTTTTATTGTACTGAAGTAATGATGTTTATATCTTTAATTTACAGAAGTAATGATGTTTATATCTTTTATTGTACTGAAGTAATGATGTTTATATCTTTAATTTACAGAAGTAATGATGTTTATATCTTTTATTGTACTGAAGTAATGATGTTTATATATTTTATTGTACTGAAGTAATGATGTTTATATCTTTTATTGTACAGAAGTAATGATGTTTATATCTTTTATTGTACTGAAGTAATGATGTTTATATATTTTATTGTACTGAAGTAATGATGTTTATATCTTTTATTGTACTGAAGTAATGATGTTTATATCTTTTATTGTACTGAAGTAATGATGTTTATATATTTTATTTTACTGAAGTAATGATGTTTATATCTTTTATTGTACTGAAGTAATGATGTTTATATTTTTTATTTTACAGAAGTAATGATGTTTATATCTTTAATTTACAGAAGTAATGATGTTTATATCTTTTATTGTACTGAAGTAATGATGTTTATATCTTTTATTGTACTGAAGTAATGATGTTTATATCTTTTATTGTACTGAAGTAATGATGTTTATATATTTTATTTTACAGAAGTAATGATGTTTATTATTTTATTTTACAGAAGTAATGATGTTTTATTATTTTATTTTACAGAAGTAATGATGTTTATATCTTTTATTTTACAGAAGTAATGATGTTTATTATTTTATTTTACAGAAGTAATGATGTTTATATATTTGATTTTATCGAGTGTGTTTGGCGCAAGGAAGTTACAATTGGTGCCAAACCCAGTCCAAGATATGGTCAATCTCAGGTCTTTATTTTCAATTTATTACATACTGTTTTTAAACCTTTGAAAATATTTTAAAAATATCTGCCCTTATTCAATCTTTATTTCAAATTTATGGAATAAAATGACAATTTAACTTTGTGGTCTTGTAAGCTGTACAGAAATACAAACCTACAATGCAGCATCAAGTCTACTGCCTGTTACAAGGTATCCAACCGTATACATATAGCCATTAACAATTTTTACATGTTTTTGACAATCTGACATTGAGTAAATAAAAAACTAAATTTAAAATTTTCTTAGAACATGAATGAAAATGTGATGTGAACTTGTTTGTAGGTTACATTAGACAACAATCATATATTGATCTTAGGAGGATGTGGAGGAGCTAATCAGGTAAGTAGGTTATATTGTCAAGATCAAGAAAAAGCACGAATTTGTATTCTTCTTTGAAATTTGTGACCTGCCATAGCAAAATGACTAACAGTTACCTTAATTCCTAAACTGAAGTATTACCGAGTTTTGTTACCCATGAGTCAAAACTTTTAATTAAAATATATGACATATGATGACAATGGGTGATTGGGTATTTCAACTCTAAAAAGTCCATTATATAGTTGTTGTATTTGTATTCCAACCAGACCAAAATTGGTTTCTGTCTTCAGATATTATCAGATGTATGGTTATTAATACTTAATGAAGATCAAGCTAAATGGCAAGAGATCAAGTTGGAAAATACAGAGTATGCTGCCCCTCAACTCTGGTGTCATCCAGCATGTATGGTAGGTTTAAAAAACAGGGCTGCTAGAGGCAGCAAATCATTACATATTTCAAAACAAATCAATATCTTAAATATTAATTCTCAAATTAAATGGCTGTGATATTGAATCATTCTTGGATGAACCTAGTTACAGTTTGATTATTACAATGAAATGCTGTAAAATGGAATTAGAAATATTAAATCAGAACCCTTAACCTGTTGTTACAGAATTTAATGCTGTGCAATCTTCAGACAACTGATCTATATTAGCCTGTGTCTCTACTTGTTCTTGTCTTTGCACTTTGAGCAGATGAAAAAAAAGAAAATGAATTAAAATCTTGCTTTACAGATTTTCACATATCAACTCTTGCAACTCTTCAACAGAACTATATTTTTTGTGATCTGGCTCAGAAATGATCTTAACATATGTTTCCTCCCTTGAACATGTTTCTGAATTACATTGGTTTTGAACACTGTTTCTTATAAAGGGCAATGGACCATTCACATATTTTGTGTGTACTTCAGTAGATAAAACCCAAGCTCATTAAACGATTCAATCAATTCAGTGATTAATAAATAAATCACAAAAGTTCATTTCATTCCTTCAAATGAGTTTCTTGCCAAACATGTCTTCATATTCATCCATTCATTCCTTCATTTCATTCATTTTTAGGTTGATAAGTGTATGGTAGTGATAAGCAAATCTGCAAAACCTTCTACTCCTCCTTCACCAAAACCCTTACCACATCGACCAGTAGTACCTCCTAGACCCCACTACTATAATCCATTACTTCATGAACCAGCACCATCACATCCTCCTCGCTTCCAAGAACCTGATGACAGTTCTAGTGATGACAGCGCTTCAGAGGATGTAAATCTCAATGTCAGCAATGATGGATTTGTCCATCCAAGAGAAGTGAGCTCTTTAGGAACAGCAAGTGTACGAGGTGGATTACCATCAGTAAAACCCAATGCTATGTCAAACAGACAAAAACAGTTAGACACTTTACGAAAATATGAAGAGCGCTTCAGAGCATCGACAACAAAACCAAGTCCAAAACTGGAGGCTCAAGAGACTCCTCGTGAAACTCGTGTATCACCTATGTTTCTTCACGTGTTAGATATTCAAAATGTGATATCTTCAGTAACAGCCACTTGGAAACCATATCATGAAGTAGTTACCACAGATACACCAGAAGAGACTGTGTTCTTTAGTTTAGTTCAAGGCCGTGGGGAACTGATCATGTTTGGAGGAATTGAGAAAGACATTAGTTCCATGCAGAGAGGCAAAACAATAGAGTCTCTGTCAGTTAGTAATACTGTTCACATAGTAAGTGCCAGTGATTTCAAATTGGGATAATGGATTGTGTAATTTTTTTAGGTCATATTTTAGGTGGTCTGAAATTTTCAGAGCTATTGCTTTTATCTCTACAGTTACAAATTAGCTCATGATATCTTTGTGTCAGGTTTAAAAGCTTCAAAATGTAATCAAAATGCAGATTAAGAACGGACAAGGTTTCTGGTAAAATCTGTTTTCTTCCATGATCTGACCAAACTTTTCTTTATCTTTTGTTCAGTGAAAATTTAAACCAATGATGTTCAATGTATGATTTATTTTGTCATGTAAAACTTTTATTGAACAAGGCCTTACAATTTGATCAGGTCATGGAAGACAAACTGAGTTCACCACTACAGAAAACCAAAATGAAGACTATATATATAGCAATTTCACTATCATCATTGTGTAAAGTTATGTGAAAAAGTAAATAAATTTAATATATATAATGGTCTTTTTGTATCAAGAGAATTTGACTGATGCAATTATGATCAGCTTAAACAGAAGTAATCTGTTATGGTTTCACTGAACATGGTCAACACTACATGGTTTTGGGTGGATTTGAATAAAATGCCAACTGTTTTTCGAATAAGGCAAGGGGGATAACCAATAACTGTCTACAGAGATATTTTCAGTTTCAACTCGTCTGATCGATCTAAATGTGGATTCAAAGTATCTCCGAATAACTCTTCAAAAACTTCTAAATGAAACACGTCTGAGATGCGTTTATGGGAACTTCTTACTGATGCCGTAGAACCGAGTTTTAAAGACAAAATATAGATCAAAAATTTGTGTACCAGATAATACCAGCATAATTCATCATGAAGTCAAACAAGATCAACAGGTCAGATGCAGAGTCCACAGAATTGACTTAGGTGGCTCATAGCACCAGCAACTGAATGAAACGAAATTTTAAACTAGGATATTTCATGGTTAATTGAATTGAAAAATCGTAGAGTTAAGGCAGTTGGTACATGTATTTCGTTTTGGTCAAGTAAAGTACGCACGATACATATATCAATGGTAATTTGATTAATGAGAAATGTACAGAATATTTTAGCAGACAAATTATAACAAACCTATTGAAACTAGTCAGTCTGGTATTCTATCGTTTTGAATATTTCATGTCTAAGACGTTTAAACGAGTGTTAACATAGTGTGAAATGAAAAGGAATGCCGTTTTACGTCCTGCTTTTTAACTCTGTATTGACCTACTGAAGATGCGGCACACGCTTTATACTATTTTGGCAGGACGACAGTTACTGCTTTTCAAATTTGAACTCACGACTGCTACCAAATGGTAGAATAAATATCGTAGCTGCTTATGTTTCGTCAATCGGAATCTACTGGTCAGCAACCAGTTGATCACAATATTAGGTCAATTCATTTATATGAGTGTTTCGCTCAGAACACAGATCGTCAGTCCACCTGGTTTTTAAAACAGAACCATGTACATATATCAGAATTCCTATTGAGTATTAGGTACATGATTCTTTTACCTATTTCGATTGGTTTTATGTTATTGGTATAATGAAGTTATGTTAAAGGTAGGGAGAAAGATGAAAGGCAAATGGCACGATTGGTTTACTTAAAATATTTAACTCGTATTGTTAAGAATAGAAAGAGTTTGAAATGGTCCTAACATATTGGGTGATACCATAATGTTATTGCATCCCGATCTTTTCTTCCATGTTACAATTTGTTATGTTAGGCCCTACTTGACGACACAAAAGTCAGACCATTAAAAAGGTGTTTAATAAGGTAATATAGTGCAAGGTTAATACATTTCTCTAATCAGAATGGCCAAGACAAACATTTAATCGTGCTATTTGAGTTAGGTGTATGTTTAACTTATATTTTATCATACCATGTTATTATTTCATGTGTAGGTATTATTATAGTCCTGCGTGTACCGCGCTTTCTAGTATTAATAACTTAAACATTTTTTTTTAAAAAGAGGCCATTCCTGAGGGAATGTGTTTAATTAATTTGTCCAATATTCAAGTTAATATTCAAAATGATGTTTAAAATACCTTCAAAACCACGAGCCGACTAAAAATAATCGTAAAGATGTGTAGATGAGAAAGTAGCACGAATAAAACATTTCCAAAGGCAATTCGAAGAAAGAAATAACTATTTTTCAACGATAACTACTTAGGTTCACAGTTAAGGATCCTTTCTATAAGCTGGCCCTTGGCCAAACCTATCTTTCCCGAATTATTCAATTTTCGGTGTTAATTCGACAGATATCGTGAGTTACGTGATCACATTTCTTAATGTTCTCGGTAAAGGTGCAAATTACAATATTTTTACTGGACAACATCGGTTCTCCGCATATAAAGACTGTGGTTCAATTGGTCGTGAATGAATCATTTCACGAAAGCGACCTGGAAAAGCTGCACAGTGTGTTTTAGCAGAGTCTTGTGTGAGAAGCTTTCGATCTAAGAAATCCGATAAGTTGGCGTCTCAGTCATGATCACTGCGATATATATGTATATTTTTGTCCAACAGCGTTAACCAATTAAAGGGAAGAAAAGAAACTCGAAATTTTCATTTACAAGGAGATTATATCTTTAATGCAGTCAGACCACGTTAAGTTAGTTAAATAGTCACCAACCAAATTTAATCAAAATGCACATGGCTTAGCTGGCAAGAAAACGACAACAAAACCCAGTGTTAAGAAAAACCACAAGAACTAGACACCCTATTGTTATATCGCTGTGGTCTGCGGTCAGCCATTACAAATGTGGTTTACACTGGACATACCATAGCCATTATAGGCACAATACTGATCCGGACAATTGACACTTTATTTCTACCAATAATGTGTTTTCTTTTTGCTTGAAGTTTCTAAATATTGTAATTTGGAATGGTTCAATGCATCGCGATAAAGAACAATTCATGAAAGGAAACTAGAAAACGAACTAGTAAAGTACATATAAATACAGGCCTAACATGCCCACTGAATTTCACCGTAGATTAGTCTGGCGCCGTTTAATCATATTTTTAAAGTTGATTTTTTGAACGATTTCTTTAGAAGGATTATCGATAGGAAATGATTTTCTGCTTCATCGCCATTTTCAATAAAAGGAATGTTACCATTTTGAATATTTACAGCATCTGCCCAATGAAGAATTTGTGCTTTGCAGTTCTAAAAGCTAATTGAACAGTAGGACAGAACGTTGTTAATCGTAGCTGAAAACTTAGTGCAAAGGCACAATTTTTATTCGGTTAAGACGGGTAAAAAGTAAAGCGAAGTTTAAATCAGGTACAGAAATACAAAACATAAAGCACAATTTTTGGCAGGTACAGAAATACAAAACACAAAAGCCAACGTAAAGCTGTTTCTATTTCCGTAAGGCACAGAAAGAAAAAGTAAAGCTCCTTTCAGGTATCCCAGTAAAGAATAAAAAAAATGCACACACATAACCGCAATTTCAATCAGGCGCAGAAATGCAAACTTACTATTTTATGTTATGCGTATAACCGACATTACGTCGACTGTCAAGAGCTCTTGGCTGTAGAGGGGATAATTTGCTATTGTATAGCTAAAATCAGGGTAAAAAATAATTTATCGAGATCTAAAAAGGAAAAAAAACTTAAACATAATATCAAACGATTCTTTAATCGCTATTTAATTTAATCCCCTAAACCGTTTAAAGAAATCCTAAGACATTAAACTTAACTTTGTCTTTAATCTTTGTACAGAGCAATTTTATATTCAATACAATTAACTCTATGTGATCTTTGTGTATTATTCAGGAAGATATAACACGAAAGTGAATTTAAAACAGATAAAATTTGCTTTCCCACGCTCTCTCAAGCCCTTAATGTTCAGTCAAGTTTTTTTTGCAGTTTAATTTTTTTTTCATTTTTTTGTTTGTGTTTATTTTAATTCATTTGGCGCCGTCTTAAGAAGGGACTCGTTTCACACAGATTTCGTTTCAATATAATCAGAATACTGCATTATAAATAGTAGCTTCTTACCTAACATATCGGTAATTGAGTTTTTTACATTACAACCTGTGTGAGGTTTTAAATATGATTTCAAAATTACAAAATCTTGCGGGATGAACTGACTGTCTCAGAAAGCGTCTGGTCGTTCAAGAGGAACATCGAAGCCCAGTGTGTCACACTTTATACGACCCTTGACTGCATATATACGAGAATGAGAAAAGGTTGGGGACTATTTCCCAATTGAATATTACATCGCACGGCGGCTCCGAGATCTAAATCTAGGTATAGAATCCGAACTAGATGTGCCTGATCAATTTAAAATGGTATGATAAGACTGGAATTTGTATCTGGGCTCAATATTATTTTTTCAGGGAATAGCATCATAATATACATAAGATATCTATATCATATTGTGATACAATATCCCTCAACATCACTTTGCTATAAAAGTCTTAGGTTTAAAATTTGAATCCGCCACCGACAACTTCAATATCATGTGACGACACATTACATATTTTGAAGTAAAGGAGGCGGAGTTTTCCCACAGGTAAAAGGTAGACTACGGCACGCGTTGATGTTGACAATATTGCTGACATATCGTCGTATTGACATTTAATGGCCCACGAGAACAGGTGACGCCACTCGTGACAGACTTGTCCCAACAGGCTTAAATCATCATTACATACGAATACAAGTTATTCATATTCTGATTGATTTTTTGAGTGCTGTCAAACACCGCTATATTATCACCAGATGACTACTGCAGATGTCCCTAACAAGTTGGTGCAAGCACATCTTTATTTAGATCATTCGTGTGCCTGACATGATTTCGTAGTAAAGGTTATTAAATTTCGGATAGATTTCTATGCATTGGTTACAAATATTTTCATATGATTGTATTCTAACCACGACAGATGTCTATAGCAAGTCGGATCATGTGGGTCCTTTCGGAGCAACCTATGCCACAACTACCTCAGCTTTCAATTTTTCATACGGATATAATGAATTTTGAGTCGAATGTATACATGTATCAATTGATTTTTACGTCGACGTTAATATCCTTTCTT